ATATATGCATATACATATAGGATATATTAATATATAATATTGGTTTATATAATGTATGTATGAACGAATGTATGTATGTACATATGTACGTATGTACGTATGTACGTATGTACGTATGTACGTACGTACGTATGTATGTATGTATGTATGTATGTATGTATGTTCGTATGTATGTATGTATGTATGTATGTATGTATGTATGTATGTATGAAAATGACTATGACCGAGCGTGTGTGTAGCTCAGGACGCAACTCGCAGTGGAAGGCGGTGTAGTTCTCAGACTCCTGGCGGAAACGGCACCGGCTATGGCTGCTGCAGTGGCTGCTGGAGTTGCTTTGGATATGGCTGCTCATAAATGCTAGCATTTTGTGCGGCCGTGTCGAGTGTTGTGTGGCATTATATTCAGCTCCTCGTTTGTATCATTGCTGCGCTCGTGATGTCTGGACCAAGAGGAAAAGGGTGCAGGAAGACAGATATATGAGTAAAATGATAGTGGCATGTGTGTGTATATGCGTGTATATACCTATTGCACATGTGTATATATATATATATGTACGCATTTGTGCATGTAAGCCTGTATATGTGCATGGTTATGTATATGCATACGGTATACGACGGGGGTGTGTATGGTTTCGTAGTCTTGTTCTTCTGCTGGAAACACGACTCGAGATTCCAGGCGCTACTTGCTAGCCTTTCATCAGCAATGTCATTGGCACTGCCTTTGTTGCCACTGGGGCAGGAATGCTGCTCACAAGCAGCTTCTATCAGCTTCTATTGGTAATGGGAATACGTCTCCTACGGCTACTGCTAACATGGTAACTACTGTTTCCACTTGATCCCAGTCACTCCCCTTCCAGTCAGTGCGACACTCATCACAACCAGTAGGATGACCAGCGTGTTTGCATCGGTGCGGTAGTTATGTCTTCTTGCTACCCGCACAGAAACCTCCTGCAAGCGGCCCTGCAAGGACACCACGCAGTCGTCCGCCACCTTCATCCCAGCAGCTGGGATCTTCGCATCTTCTTCTTGTGGGAGGATTCCAAAAGACTCTCTTCAAATTGATAGGCTCAAAATTTCTTTTGGAGATCTCATAGCAATGAGGTTTGCATGATTCTCGTCCCACCCAGTTAGGGTTGCCGCTGTGCAGTATCTGTTTCTGCCGTTGCTTTGATCTCTCTGCAAGTTTCTTCGCAATACCTAGAGCTGCCGTGACAACAGCAACGATAGCAACAAGAACTAGCAGTTATAATCTCACCAGCAAGAGTAGGATTGCTGGCCTGCAGTTGCCAAATGGCCCTCATCAGCGCACTCTGGTTCTCCTCCTCGCTCTCCTGCCTCACAGCTGCATTGGCCACGAGGCTGAAGCAAGTTAGGTCTCAAAATTACTGGATGCCAACAGCAGGCGTAGTTTCTGAGCCTCTACCTCCTGCAAGCGGCCAGGCAAATATCGTTTAGTGATTATATACCCCGTATACAGCGAAGTGGCCTCCATGTTAACCCCAAAAATCTGCAAGGGTCCCTATTAAGGGTCCCTCCTAAAGCCCTTAGATTATTTTGGGCATTGCCTCAGCGTGGCCGCCAGCTCCTCCTCGCTTTGGCGCGCCTCTGCACGGCTTCGCAGGGCTGCACGGTCACCTAGACCTAGATATATATATATATATACATACATATATATATATATATTATACCAACCTGCTGAATCACCATAAAGCAAGTGCAGCCAGTTCAGGAGAAGAGTCCGCTGGGCGCCTTCTGAAGTTCTGCTGCAGCATGGTCCTTCTCCTGCCTCATCGGCTCCAGGCTAAGCAGTCGACAATCCGCTTTTCGAAATCAGGAAGTCTTGGGCGGCTTGGGGGAGTGATGGGCGCCACTAAAGATTGCCTCTGTTGAGTGAACCAGGTGCCGTGCTTCAGAGTCTGGAGTTGCTGCCGCAGCGCAGCCACCTTGGCACAAGGATTAGTCACATCAGTCAGTCTCTGTGGCTTTTCTCGGCGCAGAAAGAAGCTGAATAGATTGGGACTTTTTCCCTGCCGCTGCGAAAGCAACTGACCTGAACAACGCAGCTGCAAGTGCCACAACATGGCCTGCATGGCCTCTAGCTGCCGCACCTACTGCTCATATTGTGCACCACTGCTTCTGCTGTTGCTGCTGTTGCTGCTGTTGCTACGAGGCCAACTACCACGACGAAGCCTATTGCCACGACGTATTCGCCAGTCATCTGAATGAGTCATTCTACTGTTGAGATTCTGCCAGCATTCTTCTCATCGAGTATTACCATCAATACTCAGTGCAAGGAGTGCTGAGAGCTGCACTTCAACAGATGCCTCTTCAAGAAACACCTCGGCATTGCCAGTTGAAACTACGAGTATGTACTAAGTGCGCCACAAACACATGCATAAACTCATTCATACAGGCAGTACATACCTTCCTGTCTGTGAGCATGTATGCGTGTATACATACCTAGTGTGCATGTACATCGAATACAAATGAAGGAATCAACAAATGTATGTATACATATATACATATTAAGTCATATTTCGTTATTTATTTCGATGGGTAGATAGATAGATATATAGGTATACACATGTCTATATACACACAAGCATGAATCTGATGTACACGTGCTACTGTACCTGCAAACATCGCCCAAATACATGCTTGCACTCGCACAATGTGGTTTGCAGGTCAACGACTCAGTGCGCACCTGCCGCTGCTCGGCATACTCGCTCCGCAGACGATTGGTGGCCTGCCCATACTCCGCTCCACTTGCAACTACCCCAAAGCTCTTGGCGGATGACAGATGCAACACCTGCCCTGAATCAATAGCTGAACTGATTGCGGCACATCGGTGTATGGCACGACCAGCACGCGCCACTACGCGTCCGATACGCGGCGGCAAGCCGATGGTAGTATGATGACGATGATGATTAAGAGGAGGATGGAGGAGGAGGATGTGGATGCAGATGCTGACAGTGATGCTGATGCGCATGCTGATGATCCTGACGACGACAGCGATGGTGATGATGCCGACGGTAACGTTGATGGTTATGACGCCGCATGTGCTCATGCACACGCCATGTGCGGCGTTGCTGCGTGCTCCAGAAGAAAAGCTCGGCTCGGACGACAGGTGTAGTGTAATTGACAGTTCCTCCTCACGTCAAACACAATGTCGCATTATATAATATATTGTAGTGTAGTTAATGCATTATAACATGACACAACACAATACAGCGTGGTAAGATACAGTATCATACCAGTAACATAACATAACATAACATAACATAACATAACATAACATAACATAACATAACATAACATAACATAACATAACGTAACATAACATAACATAACATAACATAACATAACATAGCATAGCACAGCATAGCATAGCACAGCATAGCATAGCATAGCATAGCACAGCATAGCATAGCATAGCATAGCATAGCATAGCACAGCATAGCATAGCATAGCATAGCATAACATAACATAACGTAACATAACATAACATAACATAACGTAACATAACATAACATAACGTAACGTAACGTAACATAACATAACATAACATAGCATAGCATAGCACAGCATAGCATAGCATAGCATAGCATAGCATAACATAACATAACGTAACATAACATAACATAACATAACGTAACACAACATAACATAACATAACGTAACGTAACATAACATAACGTAACATAACATAGCATAGCATAGCATAGCCTAACATAGCACAACATAACACAACAAAATAGTGTCGTGGCTGGCAACGGTCTCTCTTTCCTCTCGGCTCGGAGGTCCGGGTGTCCTCCGCCTCGCGTGAGAACTGCCTCGCCTGCACCTGGCGGCTGCGAATCTTCTCCTTCGCTGTATAGCATACTATACTAAACTCTACTACTCTACTCTAATTACTACACTATGCTAGACTACACACTGTACTATATTGTGCACACTGTACTTTAGTAAAGTCCACCGCAACCCGGGAGGCTTGAGGAGCGGGATGGAAGGGTAGGAGCCGAGACCTGAGGCATACAGATGGCGCCGCACAGCACATTTTGGGGCCTCTCAGCCTATGTTCCGAAGACGGAGCTCATCCTCAAGAGAGCTGGATCCTAAGCCTACATCCCGAAACCCACCTTAAGCACCTACAACCCTAAACCCTCAACCCCAGCTAAATTAGCCCCTAATCCTGAAACCCTTAAGCCGTCATACGTACTGATCAGATGGCACTGCCAAAAGCCCGGCCGGACCTCCTGAAAGGACGAGACCGCCGCGTCGCGCTGGGCTTGGCAAACCCGCAGCTCTTCCTTAAGCTCCTGCAAGCTTTTTTTGTGAGAGGGGTGGCGGGGGCAGGGAGGGAGTATGTGGCTTTAGCCTTCGGAACGGCTGCAGTGCTCGGAGTTTGGGAGTTTAGGGCTCCAGGATGCGGGTCACGGGTTGAGTTTGAGAGAACAAGAAACTGTTGGTTCTGCGGTTGCGTAAGAAACTCGTGAAGGATCTTTGGAGCAACCAATCAAGCGGGGCTTTGGGCTTAAGTGCTCATTAAGGGTCTAGGTTTATAGGGTTTAGGCCTGTTAGGGGTTTGGGACTCCTTCATCTCGGCTCGCATGAGAGCTGACTCCTTCTTGGAGCCGTCGAGCTCGAGCCTCCCGTTTCGGGCTGCAGGCTTGGTAGATGCAAATCTACCCCTTTCTGTTCATCTATCCGTCAAGAGAAAGACAGCGAGCGAGCGAGAGACAGAGAGAGAGGGAGAGCGACAGGAGAGACTAGAGCTAATGTGTATGTGTATATGACCGGATCTCTACGCTACATCTCCATCCACGGCATCCCTAAACCCCAAACCGACTCTCGACAAAGCCTGGCCTGAGTGCCCGGAGCTCGGGTTGAGCTCCAGCCACGGCTTCGGAAGCGGCGAGACGATCCTGGAAGAGGACCTCAAGGAACATCTTCGGGATATTGCAGGGCAAAAGCCTTGGGGTTCAAGCGGTTTGGGTTCGGGGAGAAATTAGCAAGACCGGCACTCGACAGTATAGCTCATACCTGAAAGAGAAGAAGGGCAAGGCTGCAAGGCTCCGACTCTTTCCTTCTCCCAGAGCTCCTGAGCCTCATGCGCAGGGCGCTATCGGGCGGACGCGCTGAAGCAACAAAGGCTCCCGGGCCGAGCACCTCGGCCAGTTGCCTCTGGAAGGCTTCTGCCCGACCTGCCAGGCCCAAGTCACGTCCGGTCACGTGGGGACCTTCACCTCTCTCTCTCATGTCGTTCCTTCCGTCTTCCGGGTCGGGCCTATCAGAAGCTCCCGCTCCTTCAGGCAGATCCGGTTCAGAAAGCCCACCTCCACATGGCTGGATGCGGCCGCATGCAGCAAGATTCCGTGAGATCTCACCGCGTCGCAGCAAGGTATCGTGTGTCGAATCCTTATGCCACAATGCCCCGGCAGGCTAGCTACAGTGCGCGGACGTGATCGCTACACTTCGGGTCGAAAACCGGCAAAAAGAAGTTGCTTGCCCGGAGCCCTCACGACCGGCCTGCTCCTTGCGTTCCCTGCGCTCTTCCTCGAGGTCTTTCTCTAAGGTCGCAGCCACCTCCAGCCCAAAGGAATCATCCACAAAACTTCAGCTCCTTCTCCTATAAGGACCGTGTAGGTCCAATATCTACAAAGAAGCCAACAGCCCAGCAAGTGCTGAAGCCTCAGGGAGCCTGGGAATCGAAGCTTCAGGGCAAGCGGAATGGGGCGCGAACGTTGTCCAAGGCTACCGCCACTTTGGTGGGGCTGGTACCTGGCTACGCCAGCGGTGAGAGCTGCGAGGCGAAGTATGTGGAAACAGAAGCACTTAGGTGCATGTGCTGGCGGCCGTGATGGTGGCGATGCTCTTCGGCATCATTGCAAAGAAGGGTAAGTGAAGATATCGGTGGTACGGTTGCGGCTTGCAACAATTCCGCAAATCATCATCGGCTCGACTCTGACATGGAAATATTACAAGCTAGAACGTCAGATTGATAGTACTTACCATGATCAGCATCAAGACTACACCGCACTTCGGGTGTCAAGGCATGCTTGAGCTCTTACGTGTGTCGAAGTCTTCACGGGACTTCGCATCAATTGTAGTCACTGCTTGTCAGCTCTACTGTCTACTGGCAAAAAGTAACAACAATCATGACTTACACCGTAACACCGATTGTAACACTGTTTTCGAATTGCTTAACAGATTTCCTCTTATGCGATCTTATGCGTGACTGTCTACCTCAAGCCTGCACAGCTATGCGATCACTTCCAATGTGACCCCGCTTCTCCGCCACAAATCCGAAATGCAGGACTTGCCGCCCCCGGCCACCGTCAAAAAGGCGGAGCTCACCGCTAAACAGGCTCTCCGCCACATGGCTCCTTCAGAAAGTGCACGTGAACGCTTGAAGCTTCAACATCCAACCCGGGGTCTTCGGTATTGGGGAAGTGCATGGAGAAATTCCTCTGACATGGCATACTCGCCTCTGCCAGTCAGGCGACATTGGAGCCCGCATATTTGTAGGCCTCAGCAGGAAGCAACGGCACTTCTGCCTGAAGACCCCACCGAAGCGCAAACATCCCGGCAATAGAAGCTGTTTTGAGTTTGCTCGGCTCAAGACTAGCATAGTGGGACCATGCTGCGCTCTGCCATCGCGTCGCTGTCTAGGAATCTCACTGCGATGCAGCTCGTGGAGTGGTACTTTCGGGAGATGTCAGTGTTGTATCAAGGTCGACCGAGCAGACTTTACACGCTGTATCGGCTACAGGCTTTCAATGCGGCATCGTGGCATGCACTGGGCCGGCAAACCCCTCTAGAAGCAGCTCAGATGGCGAGATGTAGCATGCGTAACATACGCAAAACCATCAACTTGCAGATGTACCCACGTCTCGCTCTTCGCCTGCACGTACCTTTGGCAGGCGGCGAGGTGCACACACACGCACAGAGACAGTCGTATGTGCACGTGTTTTCGCATGCGCATAGTGCATGCACACCTGTATGAGTATGTACGCCTGGACGGATGCATGGAAGTATGTAAATATGCTTGCACTTTTTACATTTCCATGCAGGTGTGCAAACGCATGTGCTTCTGTGTGCTTCCGTATGTAGGTGTAACATTACTTGAGCAGACTGCTGTTGGATGCTGTTGGCACCTCGCAATTTCGAGAGTTGGTGCCACTGTTCGGTTTCCTTACTGACTGTGCGGCTATGCAAGCAAGAAGCTGTACAGCGCATGCTAATCAGACATGCGGTGTTCATCAATGCTTTCACGTATGCAGGTATTGCACGTATGAATGTATATATGCAACGCAGGAAACTGTGTATATGTCAACGTATGTGTAACTAGGAGGGAGGGGAGGGAGGCCCTTCCAAATACCGGTGTCCGTCGTCGGATTCAACACGCCCATAGCAGCACTGGCAATTGGAGTTTCACAACATGTTCAGCGGCACGGGCTCCACAATTCATTCCAGCCACATCGCCGTGGCATCAATGTCTACTGGGATCGACTAGCTTCCAACATATCGAAAGAAAATCCAGCACAACACCGCGAGAACCTGGACTGCAGCTTTTTCAGCAGGCCTGCGCTGCCTGCCACTGCATTTATGTACATGCCGCTTCTTGCGCATTTGTGCAGGCACAGCAGGGAGCACTCAGCCAGCCGAGCGCCGCAAGAGGTAGAGCTTTTCGTAGCTCCTGGGTGCTTCGAGACGTTGGAGGAGCATTGGTCTCCCCCTAAAATTGCAGGAAACTTCTTTTCACAGAATTTAGAGATGATGTCATTGTATGAGCTGATCCTATTCTGCAGCATGCAAATCCACAACTTCTGATATCACGATGGACGCGCTCTGACCCTACATTCGCTACATGATGAACATGCTACGGATCATCCACGGCCGAGGGTTCTGAGAGCCCTACCCAGGCAGAGTGTCCAGCTCGATGGTCTCCTTTGAGGAATCCGGGTCCAGGAAGCTCAGAAAACAACATAAGAAGGTCCTTGGCAAAGCTCAAGACAACCGAACTTCATCGAATTTAAGATCACATAACTACAGTAGAATGGACTGCTGAGATAGCTTAGTGTCGCGTCATCTAAGGCCCCAGGGAAAAGTCCTCAAGCGTCCACCCCACGCTGAGTGCATCGAAGAAAGCACCGTCAGCATTCACTCCACCACGTCCTGTCCAAGGTTTCGGTCCCCACTCTAAATCCTAAATAGTTCGTGACCCAGGAACAATGCAAGAGAGACAGTGGTAGGTGACCAGCACATGTATGATTTCATGCAGGATGGGCTCCAATGACACTGTATTGCTTCGACGCAAAATACCGCTGTCTCCGCAGACAAAAGTCTTAGACTCCAAGTCAAGAGACCAAATCACAAAGCACGAGCAGTAGATCTTCTCTGCCCACATTACTGTGATCGTGGTCGCTAGATGTGCGATATCTATGCCAGCATTACCAGACCTACCACAGGGGTAAGGATTACAGCGCCTACTACTCTTGCATCCGAAATCACTCCACAGGCTCCTGACCGGAGCACAGGTCAGCCTAGAGGCAAATACCGCTACGGAACATAACGACCACAACATGATCGCGGATTCCGGGTCTTTTGTTAGGGAGGTTGAGGATGACGCATCACGATGCTGGCATACACCGTCCAAGAGACCTACTGGTTTCATCATGTTCAATGTTCAGGTCCTTGGCTGTGGCTTCGCATCCGGAAGTCCGAAATCCAGTAACCCGTACGGCGGAGGCTTTGGGTTTAGGGCAGAGTTGCCAAAAACGGATCACACCAGGCCTTCCCCTACGTAGAGTAGAACATCTCCAGTGTAGCTGGCTAGACACCTGGCAAGCAAGGGTTCGATGCACTGCTTTGCATTCTCCATGGCACACATTCCATATCCATCACGGTTCTCTGTGCAGCGAGAAAGCTTTACTAAAAGGCAATGCCCTGCCTCATTGCCATAGGCCCGGGTGGCGGATAGACCAGCAGCAGCGTCCGGCCGCGACTCCGACGCAGGGCCTCCTGGACGTCGCAGCAGAAGCAGTAAGTAGTAGCCACCACCGTCGCAGTAGCAGCAGTAGCAGCAGCAGTAGTAGCAGTAGGAGGAAAAGGGAGCAGCAGCAGCAGCAGCAGCAGCAGCACTTGTAGCACTACTACTGGAAACTTTTCGTAAGCAGGGTCAGCCAAGGTACTACGGCATTGGCTACAGCAGCACTTCTATCTGCAGCCCTATTGTCGCTGCCAGTGCCACAGCCGCGACGCGGACTTGTACTCCGAATACAGAACGGAATACGAATCGAAGCGCAATTCGGGTGCGAGGAAGAGTATCAGCAACAAACGGAACAGCGTCCGTTGAGTGTAGTGACGCAGTGATGAAAATCCAAGCACATGATAGCTAGGCGACCAAATGCCAGATAATTGGGAGTTGAGGCTGGTGGTCCCGACATGATAATGCCAATGGCAGACACAAAATGAATCGATGGAGGATTGAAATTGAACTACAGGGGGCGGAAGAGGCGCAGCCTTGGCTAGCGAGTGAGTTTCTTGGGCTTGGGAGTGTTAGGTTGAGCCTCACCACGGCCGTTTGCAGACTTCACCTGATGCAGACTGACGGAGTATCCCGAAGCGAGCCCACGCTTTCGGCTGGTGCTAGGCGGCAGCTCGACTCAGCTCGTGTGCAAAACATGCTTGTTGGCTCGGGCAAATGGTCTGGGCACCATCTTGCACCACCCAGATCACGCATTGCGGAGGCTCGATGTGGCTGAACAGTACAGGCCTAAACCAGCATGAAGGTCTTGTGTGTGCGTGTGCAAAGTTCTGTCCTGCGCATCTGCCTGCTGCACATGTGCACCACTGACGGCGAGCCTGCGGCAGAACACGAAGAATTCTTAATGGCGTTTCTGTGTCCATCACTCCGAAACCACTGACTGTAAGCAAACTCCCTGTGAGCGATCCTCCGAACTCGAAGGTGCCAGAACCTGATGCAGAAAAACCCCGGCTGACGCCTGCCCCGAGCTTGCCATGAGAATTCAAGGCAGGCATCAGCCGCATGAAGTCATACCCTAGAAACCCAAAAGAGCTCCAACATTCATAACTACCAAACCTGAAAGGGTGACTAAGAAGCTCCCGATAGATCTTTCACGCGCCGCCGCACTTTCCCCTCCGTCCCACATCGCCCCGAAAACCCGCCCAGCTCGCCGTGAGCTCGTGGCTTTCTCCCCGAAGCGACTCGGGCTCGAGTGGTCGTCGAAGGCTGTGACCTCTGCCACAAAGGGTTGTGCGGGCTGGGGCTGCAGGCTTTTTTTGGGGGGAGGGTGTCCCTACGTCAAGGTATTTTGTCTCCTCCCTTTTCTGTTTTTTCTATGGCCCCTTCTTCTTCCACAAAGGACTTTTGTGATTGCTCCTTGGGTGTCGTATTTTGGCAGTGACTGAGGGGCCCGGCATCTGCTCCTCGCCGGCGGAGTTCAGACTGCCATTGCCCTTCGCCAGCGCCAACCTCAGAGGACAACCCGACTGTGGAGTATATGGTTTAGGGTTTAGGGTTAGTACAGGGTTTAGGGTTTAGTAGAGGGTTTAGGGATGTAAGAGTAGAGTAGATCTACATTGCCACTCCGTGGAACCTTTCGATGAGGCCACCGGTCGTAATGTCAGAGACTCAGCTCTGTTCACCTTACCTCCCCACAGCTTACAGCCCTAGGTGGCGGCGAGAAGTCTTACTAAACCCTACACCCTAAACCCCTCTGAAAGCCACGCTCAACTTCTCCCCGGGCCTCCACCAAAGGCGAGAAGCGCTCCACCAGCTGCAGGGCGGCCTGCTCAGCTCAGGGCTCACTATTGTTTATACTCCAGTCTCTTATAGTACGTGGTACCATGTATTTGCATACTACAGTATGCTCGGGTATATTATAATTATAGGAAACTCTAGTATATATATATATATATAACTAATAGTATGGGACACGGTTTTTCGACTCGTCTCTGAACCAGAGCTTTCGAATATAATGGTAACTTTACCGGACCTCAGAGCTCCTCTTGAGATACACTCCTTGGCATCATCGACACCTAGTTGTGTCTTGAGTCTGGAGGGAGCTGAAGAAAACCATCGGGCAAACCATATAGTGGGGCATGGAGCCATCATGAAAGTTAAGAGGGTTCTTTGTAGCCTTATCATGTTCTGTACAAGTTTCAGAATGTTACGAAGTCTTGTCACTGGCCTCTGTCCACTTCACGTTCCCGAATGTCCGGCGCCTTGGCCGTGGCTTGACAGCTTCGAACTTCACGGTTACCAAGCACTGGCCAGAGCTACACAATCCGTATCCGTGCACACATGCGCAAACAATACTACGAAAGGTGGACGATACTGTCTGTCGCTCAATCCGGTTTAGACTCGGGTACATCGTGAACACGGGGCTTCGACCCGAGGTTGTCCTCAGGCGTCCACCTCTGATCGACCTCCTCGCGGGTGAGTGAAGGGTACATCACGCGATGCGCCTTGCGAAGCCCACCAGAAGGCAGATTTGCCCTGTTTTCTAGCCCGGAATGTAACGTCGAAAGCAACTTCATCATTAAATGTCAGCGGCAAAAATGTCACAGCTAGTCGCTAGTCAGACCTGGCCGTACGTGGAGTGAAAGCGCAGACACACCCGTCACTTGCCAACTTCTTCTGCTCAGCATATGACCCGGACCTTGTCTATCCAAGCTCACTGGGCATAACACCAAGTCAGCAACACTTCTTGCCCTGGGCCCGTCGCCTCTTCTACCAGCTGCGCACGGAGCTTCAGCAGTGCTTGGGCAGAGTCCCCGTCGCCAGCTGCCAGAAACTGGCTTTCACTCGACCGCAGAAGCCAACTGCAGGACCCAAGACAGAGGCATGTGTAGAAATGTAACATGCATGTACGCATGTACTATACAATGAATCTAACCTACAATATACAAGGGGAATGCCATAACTAGAGTACCTAGAGACTGTGACACCTACAGGTGCTACTTATAAAGGCTTGGAGCACTCGGCAGCTGAATCATGGCAGCACGGCCTGTGGCCACGACAGCGCGCGCCCGCCTCAAGAAGGAGAGCTCTTTGGGGTTTAGGGTTTCGGAAAATTTTCGCACGGCCTGACATGGCAGCAAGCTGGGGACAGCACTTGTCTGCCGAAGCCATAATGTCGCGGAGCTTCTTTTCACGTTCCTTCGTTCAGAAAAGATTGCATATCTGAGAATACGCAGCCAGAATTAGAACAGCTCCGACAGAACCCTAAACCTAAAGACATCCTCAGTCAACACCCTACTAAGTTAGTCCTACTACCCAAACCCTTAGCCCCCATGGGTCGCGTCCCACCCTTTCAGCGCCCGGCCCGTCTGGCCCTCAAAAGGCCCTGGTCAAGTCCCAGTAGCAGCCTGGGCTTCCGAAGGGGCTCGGCTCTTTTCAGTTCACATGACCACCCTTGGAGAATAATTAACCTTGCTTTAAGGCCCCTAAACCCTAAACCCTTGGAGCATAAAGAACTTGAGGTTAAGGCTTGAGGAGTTAAGAGGGCTTCGATACGGGCTAGAACCGGGGGGATTTGGACTTCGGTGCGGCTTACTGCAAGTCACGCCTGAGCTCTGCCTAGTCCTTGCGGAAGCTGCGTGTGCTATGTAACTGGTAAAAGAATAGACAAGTCAATAGCAACAGTGGAAATAGGAAGAACACTGGCCCCCTGGTCATGATAGCAATACCCATGACACATGACAGACATACAACAAAAGTGTTACCGTTTGTCTTCAACGTGATATCACACCAGGACAACATGGCAGCACATCGCCACGATAAACCTACCTGTCATGTTACCGTCATATCCCCACAATAGGCCGCCCGCAATGTAGCCCAGAAAAAGGGATGTGTCAAGCAAAATAACATACGGGTTTGCGTGCCAATGGAGTGACGAGAACTTGAAGCCGGAGCACGTTCTTGCACCAGAACGCTGCGTGGCGCATCGCAAGGTTACAGTACTACACTGCACCATGGTACAATATGCTGACAACACAATAGGACAAACCACTTGCAAGCAGTTCTTATCGGGATAACAACTCGAAATAAACCCATGTGTTAGAACTCCCACAATCTGACGAGCGAAACACTACCATGATGAGGTGATCGAATACCAGCGAAGGCATGCAACATCACAACGATTAGCTTTCTCGAAAACGATGCTACGACTGCGTGATAGTTGCTGAGCTCTGCACTGGGCTCTGTCGTCGACTTGCACCTCCTGGTGCAATGATCCATAAGACAACCCGGTTACCTAGCCTTCGACGCCACACAACGCACGTGCCTGGAAGCGCAAGGCAGTCATGTTAAACTAGACCATACACCCATGCAAGTATCGTGCACGGTGGTGCAAGACTGGCATGCCGAAGGCGGGGTGCACGCAGGCCTGGAAGAAGGTGTCTTGCAGCTCCCGGACAGCCAGGCCTGCACTTCGCTTGGAAGCGGGGTGCAAAAAAGCACCAATGTGGATGCAAGTTAAGGGATCGTGCGCCCTTCAAGGGCTCCTTGTAGTGCAGCCGCCCATATTGCACCCACGAACTGAGCCGTATTTCCGTCAGATGCAAGGAGCTCCCGGCCTACGCCCAGCACGGCTGTGCCGCCTGAAAAACAGCGCCATGCAATCCGTCCTGACACCGGACGCTCACAGAAGACTGAAGGCCATGCTGCAAGGCGCCTCGGCCTCCCTCTTTCAGAAAGAGCTGGAGAAGACAGTTCAACTTGGTCCCAGACGCGCTCGAGCAGCCGTCATCCATCAAGCTGACGCTTGCAGTCAGCTGTCGCATGCTGTCGGCTGCATGGCCAGTATGATGCTGCAAGACCTCTTGAGGCAGCAATTGATGGGACGTTGCTGACTGGAAACTGCGGACACTGCAAGCATGGCCCGTACTAGAAATGTAACAAGCAAGGGTCTTGATTCGCTTGCGTAGACTAGTGCAAGACTCGAGCCCACTGCAAGCCCATCCGGCCGCGGGCGCATTGTCTCAAGGCCATGATTTATAACAGGTACAGCGCACAGCAACTTGATGAGAACGATATCGCACTGCTTGCTGTTATTACTATTTGATCTATGATTAACAACTCAGCCCTGTTGCAAAGTCTGTTTTTAGGAATCCTAAACCCTATAAACCCTAAACCCTAAACCCTGTTTTTCGGCGCAGGTCAAAGCTGGAAGTTCGGCCACCTGTCGGAGGAGAGCGGAATCCTCGGCCAAATGGGGAGCTGAGCTCAATCGGCTAAGGTGTGGCATAGCGGACTTAGTTTCAGTGGAACAAGGGTCGGGGGATGTTATGGTGTAAGCGTGGAGACTCAAAGGGGATCGGGGATTCTGTTTGCTTGTATTGATTGATTCAGACCCTCTACGATACCCCAAGCAGCTCGAACAAGGTTTAGGAATGCGGTTATTAGGATTTATGGCCCACCAATGAAGCAGGGAGGTCTCTGCCACAGTATGATTTTGCGGCCAAGACTTGGCCAGTCATCCGACCAGTCTTTGAATGTCAGCCACAGTAGCTGGCTCTTACAATGAGTGTGAACTGCCTTGTGCATACTGCGTTTACTGGCTGCTTTGCTTAGTGCCAGCTAGATTTGGACGAAACACTAGCATCGAGTCAGAACACTAGGCCGACACGCTGAAATGATGCAAACAATACAGGCGAGCCCGCCGAACGAAGTCGAACCCTAGCAGCTTGAACGACTGACACCGTCAAACCGTCCGATATTGAGCTTGGGACGACATGGGCTCCAGGCTGGAAAAGCCTGGTGGGCACCACATGTTCTTTCTGCGTGCAGTTGTACCGCGATCCTCAACATTATGCGTGTAATCTTTCCAAGCATCGATGGAGCCACGCATGTGCTTTCAGCTGGAACTGGGCTGTCAAAAGCTACATCTCTCCAGAATGCTATACAATGCTAATTGCCAGAGATGTCACGAGCCTTTGCCACCAGGCGCCGCAGCATTGCCTTTCTTGCCACCTTTGCCTTCAGGAAGCTACCGCAAGAGATGCCACATGTAGGACAAGGGGTTGAGAGTACCGGAGGACCAGGTGCAACCGGATGAAAGGGTGGCTGAAACCTCCAGGAAGTCCCGCATTCTCAACTCCAAGGTCGGCGTCCAAATCACCAGCCCCTTTAATGCCAGGGTCAACCTTGAGTCCATCAGTGACCCCTGTATGCAACCAGGCAGTTAACGGTCCACGCGCGGTGTCCCTTGGAGCCTGACTGCTTCAGAGCTCAAACTGCTGACGCCCTCGCACCCTGCTATAGACGCGTGAGAGTCTGCACCCGCAGCCCTTGCAGATGGGCCCCGAAATCGGCCAACAGGCTCTTGATGACTGAAGCCCTGAAAAAAGGGCGAAAGAAAAGGTCGCTGCCAAGGCCTCTAGGGCGCGGCTCGCCCTTGGCCGAGCTTGCTCTGGAATGGACTTTTATCTGGGTCTTCCTTTTTGGATTGTTACTCTCTGCAAAAGAATCTTTGTGGTTGGATTGCAGCTGAAGGCGGGCTTTGTGCAGCACATGAGACATGCATGAAAGTTCTGTTTCATGGGTCATGGGACTGCCAGAGGTTCATTCAATATTTCTCACGGGACACAAGTCCAAGAGCGGCTGCTATGATTGCCAAAAACAAGCATACAGAACAGAGGCTGTCTGACCCAGTCAAGTGTCACCAACTTGCTAGTCTAATCACAGTTCCCTAACTAGCTGTCACCCTGAACCCTGGATGGCAACTCCAAAGCCCTAAACCCTAAACCCTAAACCCTAAACCCTAAACCCTAAACCCTAAACCCTAAACCCTGAACCCTGAACCCTGAACCCTGGATGGCAACTCCAAAGCCAGTAAAGTAGACCTGAAACAGGCGTCGGACCTGTGCTCCGTGCCCTTTTCCACCTGAGCCGCCACGTTCACAAAGTCGGGCTTCCGGCTGAACAGAACAGCGAAGCTATCCCCGAAATTCCCTAAACTAAGGCAAACAGAGTCTAGGTCTGATTGTTGAGACGGTGACAAAAGAGCTACGCAACAGTTTGCTGCTGATGCAGCGGAGCGGCTGTGAGCTTTGGCACGACTGGCGGCCTCGGGTTGCTTGAGCGCAGCCATGGAAGAGGTGACAAGCTGAAGGAAGCCGTGTTCGAGATGTCTGCCGAACTCGGAATGGGGGTTTCTGCTGTAACTTCTGGAGCTTCAGACGGACCTTGGAGATTTGAGCTGGAGGCCTGGGCCGTCAACAAAAACAAAAGGCCTCGTCGGTAACATGCTAGAGCTGATAAATATCAGCTGACTAGGACTAGGAGCTTCTTGCACTCCAAGCCGGGAGCCCCGCCCGCTCTTGCACGAAGTCTCGGATCATGGCATCTGCTTTCTCCACGCTCTCTTTCGAGCCAGAGAGGAAGATTGCCCTGGAGATGCGAGGGATGGAGGTCAGACTGGTACGGAAATCTCAACAAGAGCTGACATCAAGGTGGAGCACGAACTCTCGCGCCTCTCTGCTGTGGTTTCAAGCTGATCTTTGGACACCTCCAAGCGTGCTTGTGGCGAAGCTAGTGACACCCTGTGCAGACCACGGAACTTAATGATCCGGAGCAAGTCAGTTCAAGTTGGTGTGATGGTGATGGTGATAGTGATGGTGATGATGGTGATGGTGATGGTGATGGTGATGATGGTGATGGTGATGGTGATGATGGTGATGATGGTGATGATGGCGATGATGGTGATGGTGATGATGGTGATGATGGTGATGGTGATGGTGGTGTGATGGTGATGGTGATAGTGA